TGATAGACTGGTGACCTGTCCAGGGTGTCTCCTGCCTTCACCCTGAGTCAGCTGGGATAGACTCCAGCCCCCCATGACCCCAGTGAGGATTAAGCGGTCTATAGATAATGGTTGAACGGATTTTATCATTTGCATATTTTGTATTACCGTTTCCATAAGCGTATCTGAAGCTCGTTGTGTATGCTCCATCTATACAATGACAATAAAGGAATCTAATCTAACATGACCGAGGTGTCTGTACTCACGTCTGCTCTCGTAAATAGCCCTCGACTTCTCATAGAGGTCATAAGGGTCAGGTTTGTTAAGGTCGAAGCCTTCGGTGGAGTCAGGCACAGACGTGCGGTGCTGCGGCTGGTTTGGGAACGGTGTGCCAGGTGGCAGGACTGGGCCGGACAAGTTGGCCTGAGGGCTGCCATGTGGGTCCCACTGATCGGGCAACTGGAAGGAAGAATTGGTACCATTTAGATTCGCAGCTCACATGTTCCCTTATTTTTCAGCATCACATTTAGAGCAGAATGACTTGGGGAAGATATCCAATTGCAAATTTTCTGACACATTGTGATTTGATTTCATCTTTCAAAGTCGAGCTTCAGCTCAATATTCACCGGGTAACACATTTAAAGCATGTGAAGGAGCATTACTGAATGAGATACCATCAAAAGCATCACTGTCACACGAGGGAAACCGCACAAATTTGTAAAACCATTGACACAGTAGTTTAAAACCTTGGATCAGATGTGATGCAAAAGATGTGGCTGATAAATAAAAAGACAGGATTTATGTCAGTCAAACCACAGCGTGCATCTGCTCAGAGTAAATAGCATGACAGCGTTGTGGTTGTTTGTAACAGCCACACCTCGTATATCCTAAATTACAGCCTTAACAAATTGAAAGCGATTAATACTTTCAGTGCACCAGAATTAGCCAGCATCTAATCATTAGCAATAAATACACTACATAAAACAATATAAAACTTAAAAATCCATGAGTGTCAGATAATAAATAAAATCACTAAGTACAATAAACTGGTGGGGACACTTCTGTGCTGCCTTCAGCTATAGCTTGAGGCTACTTCTAAACACTGCAAAGCTTTTCTGAATCTCTAATGTTTGTGGGGATGGAATTCCACTTTAAGACCAGCCTGCAAGATTCTGAATAATTTTAAACATCCGGCATGCGTCAGAATAAAAGAGGAAGCTGTCAAAACTGAGGAAATTGTTTTTTTTTTCTTTTAGGATATTGCATTCCCACGTGACATGCTTTAAGATATATGAAGACAATAATGAATAACTTGTGTTTGATGTGTTTTTTAAGCAAAAGAGTCCAAATGTGTTGCTACAAATACTTGTTTTTTTTCTCTTTCTCATAGAAAAAAAATCAAAATCGAAGTTTAATTGCTGGATACAGGATGTCTCCAACTGAAATGTGTACATGCATCGGAGGTTTCCACTTCATAATATAAATAATTGTATAAATAAATATATATAGATGAAGACATGTACTGACTGTTCTCTGAGTTAATTGTGACAGATGCACATCTAAAACAGAAATAATTACTTGCAAGAAGAGAAAGTTCCCCCTCTTCATCAGTTAAATATAAAAACAGTCAAACATCCTTCTGCACAGCGAGGTTCAAACACGATCCAACTTTGATAAATAAAGCCTTTCTCTTTGCTCACTCTGATGAATCATCTGTCAGGAAGTTGTTTTCATAATTTACTAAATTAATGACAGGGAAGTTAAAACAACAAAAATTAAGGCTAAATATGGGCAAAAACAGCAGAGCATAAAGCTAATAGGTAACGGAAGCGATGGAGGCAATCATCGGGCTTAATGATAAAAAAATGATAATGTGACGTGTGAGAACTATACTTAGTCGAATGTTGTGCTTCAGCTCCTCAATTACGCAATGACGAAAAGTAACTATTTGGGAAGATATGATAATGAGTTCAAATCAATACTTTAAACCTAAATGAGGTGAGATTCATCATGTCTGAATATAAAGTGATTGTACAAGCAGTAACAGGTGCAGCCTAAGTATAAATCTGAAGAGCTTTCCTCCAGCTGCTGAGATCTGAGATGTGATCAAACTAATAAGCGGATCAGGAGACGCCGGCGCTTTTGGCAATAAAGTTAAAAACCCAACACCCCCCCTTGTGAGGTTACAAAACCGATCCCGGCACACGAGCAGCTCGGTTCGTTACCTGTTTGGAGGCCTTCCACGGAGAGATGTGACCTGAGGAGGACAGAGAGGAAAACACGGTTAACAAATAATGAGAAAAAATTTAAAACTATGAGAGAATGCATGTGCAATAAGATACGAATCCTCTTCCCCTCTTCTCACTTTGCTGATCTCATATTCTTCTGATTTGACTTTGTTTGTGTAACTCCTCCTAAACGGGTTCGGTTGTTGCGTTTGTTTTCAACATAATTACATCATTAGCTGCAGGCGAAAGCACAGACCTCATCACACACACACACACACACACATTTTCCTCTGTAAGTTGTATTTTATCTGCATGTAGGAAGCGGGAGCTCTCTACATCATAACAACAATCTCATCAACGCGGCTCCCCTGTGACTCCGCTGATTCAAACACATACTGTCCCGTTACGCTGTAGAGACCCAAATACATACATTTAGACACGCCAGGCTGCAGTGACTGTCTTGTAAAAACATTCACTCCGAAGCTTTACACATGTGGATAGAAACACGTAAACACACTCGTCATCCCGCTCCAATCCTTCACCAGATGTGGGCGCCGGTGAAGTTACTCTTTAGAGAATCGCGGTATGTTTAATATTTATTCAGTTTATGAGATTTCCTGAAAAATGTCAGAGAGCACTGGGTGGAATATATTTATGGAATTACTCTCCAACTGCATCCTGATGTGCCAGATGAAGGCCGAGGCACTTAGCAACGACGCAGAATGGCAGAACTTTCTATCAAAATCAGCGAGCGAGGGCAGATTCGAGGAAAATGAAATACAATAGATCACTTTGGGCCCGAAGTGTGACGCGAAAAATGAAAATTGAAATTCATTTCTGCCATTCAATTCACTTTTATCTCCTACTTTTTCCACATTTTTCACCCCCAGGACCTCCTCCATTCTCCCAATTAAAGCGTCTTGGCTACCTGGAAGTCTTTTCCATTAAATGTCATCCATCCCCGCTGCGTCTGTGAGTGTGGAGGAGGACGCGAGGAGATGAAGAAAACAGAAATAAAACCGCTCCTCTCCGTGAATGCCATAAACATGAGTGGCGGTTTGAGGAGCGCTATCCGTGGTGCTGAAATGATTCAGCAGCAGAGGGAGAGCTCTGTGGGAGGTTGGGACTAATAACCGCGTTCTGCAGGGAATACAGGCCTTAAGGGAAGCCTTTAAGGAATTCTAATAACTCATTTTCATGAAAACTTTCCTTAATGACCCGCTGAAGGAAATGAGTATGAGCTACAAGGCAATTGTCCACTCATATTAAAGAGGGCCGTCATCCTTACAGACGCATTTAAGCTTAATTTAAATGCTAATACAATTCACCGGCATATGTGCCGGACGTGTGGGGCACTCGCATGCATGCTGATGAATTACAACTGAATGACTGCTAGAGAGGCTTCACGTGGCCTCTCTCACAAGTCAGTGGTCAAGCAGTCTGGCAGGCCGGGCTCACAGACTAGCCTGCTGAGTTCTGGATGGCCTTCAGATTAGCCTGATTGGCTTGGGTAGCCTGACACCCTTTTTTTTTCACAGCCTCGATCTGCATCCTCATTGGTGCTGCAAAATGTCTCTAGTCTGTGGTTGGCTCTGCTTCAAACTGGGATGTCAGGGGACGGAGCTGTGAACACGACCAGAGCTCAGAGGAACTCTGGCAGAGAGCCCACACTACAGTGAAGCAGTCACACACACACACACACACACACACACACACACACACACACACACACACACACGCACACTCACACACGGTCACACATGCAGCGGAAGTCTAACACCGTGTCTGTGTTACAGAAACGCTCTCAGTCACACATTTGAAATCATGTGGTCAACCTAAATTTCCCTGATGCTCTGCAGAAAATTCTCCAACATGCTTAAACATTCCTGACATTTTGCACATCTGAGTCACTGTAAAGGACCTTGTCCTTTCTTTCACCCTGCAGAGAGGAGAGAGACACAGAAAGAGCCAGAGAGGTTCCTGGTGTGTCAGGCTGATAGCCCCTGTGGGGCTGTTGTCTTGAGTTGTTTGATAGAAACTGGTGAGGTTGAAGGAGGAGATGGCATCTTTGGGGGAAGGGAGGCAATTTGTCACATTCAGCTCAGCATTTAGGAGGATATCCCTTACAAGCTGTGTGTGTGTACATTCAGATATAGATCCATGTTTATACAAGTGATGCTGCAGTGACATATGCCAGGTAATCTCATTTGTATATTGAATTTTAGCATGCTGTTTAAATGTCGAATCTGACAGTGAGTTATGAGAGCGTGTCTTTGCACAGCTTCAACACCAGGTGGCAGATGTTTGCTCTGCATGGTCACAAAATGCTCCAGAGCAACAACATTTGAGCTCAGCTGCTCACATATACATGCACACATGCAGATGCATACCAAGGTGCACTTCATTTTCCTTCTGAAAACACTTGAGTCATCTGCACTAATCACAGTCCCTGAGTGATCTATTAGCTTTAATGTGCTCATTTAAGTGAGCATGCACTACACATTTAGTTCAATTGACCAGGCTGCCGTTTGTCATACATGTCCAATAATCATCAATAATGGCCTGTAAGTTCACACATCAGGTCTCGCATACAATCAGCAACCACCCAGCAGCACTTACATCAGACAGTCTGATGTATCAGGATCAGTCAGAGCTAATGTCTTTGATTGCTTTTCAGGTCTGCAATAATAATTCCTGTCACACTTCAATTAATTAGACCTGAGATGCATATGAAACTGATTGCCTTCATCTCTAATTAAATACAATCCATGAAAAGAAGGTTACATACGAGAGCACATCCATAACTCCTCTTTATTGTTCTGATATGATCTCGAAAACAATGCAAATTAACTCTTCACTCCTGGCAAATTGTCTCTAGAGAAACAACAGATTTCACGACAAAAACTAGCACGAATATGTGAACGGCAAAGTGTGGCACATCAAAGGCACACAATGAGTTTGTGAACTTTGTCTCTATAAGTGGCCAAAGGGCAGGAGATTTATTTATCTATTTATTTTTTCACTCTTTTAACTTTCATCAAGGCTGCTGAACAATGCAGCACCAGTTAATCACCGTGTGGCTGAACGAGTGTGTGTTTGTCAGATGGCCACGGGCTCGGTGGAAAAAGCAGCCTGGGGGGAAATTATGAAGTCAAATTTTGACCTGTGACCAGAACGCTTTTGCGAGAATCAGAGCAGGAGCACATGTCAAACAGTTTCCTTGCAGGTGGCCAATCGTGCAAGAAATAGAAGAGGAGGGAAAATTACCACCTTCCACGCCGTTCAGGCAATATTGCAAAAAAAAATTTGCATTTCAAACTTCCGCAGTATGAAAATTTCTCTCAGTCCCTTTTTTTTTTAGCCGCTTTATGGCTCCATTTTGATTTATTTTCTCAGACCGAGGGCATGGAGTAGCTTCCTTTTTTTTGACTTTGAGAGGAAGGTAAAATGCTGAGCATGTGCAGAAAATTAAAGGTGTTGTGGAGCAGCTCATTACGATGCAGAGCTCGCTGCAAACATTCAACACGTGGCAGGTTTTGTGGAGCAACACAAGCCACGAATTCTCTGTCGAAATTCACAGACAGCCAACAGTTAACTAGAATGTAGCAGGAAACACGGTGCCACTGTGAGAAAGTGAGAGAAGCTTTTTCAAACTGTCATAAACGTCAATCATGATGTCACTCATTGGTTTGTTGATTAATGTTTGATTAAAGCCTTGAGTTTGGAATTTGGCTTCACTACATTGGTCCTTGGATGTGACAAACGAGGGGGGAATTTGGCTTCATCGATACGTTAATATTTAGAACTGGCCACTGTCAGATTTCTGGTGTATTTTCGTGGAGGTGTTCAACTCTATTTGAGCCACGAGTCCCGCAAAAACATTGGAAACGAACCTGTCAACAAACAGCCCTTCATCTCTGCACACACTCTGGATCCCAACATGTGTGGAAGGAATGATTGTTCTCATCCACAGAACAGAATCAATCCAAAGTTCATGCATGTTGGTACGCAACATTTGGGTAATTGTTATACTGGAATTTGGGTCTATCTACACAAATTACAGCTCATCCTCTGCTGTCATGCACTTCACATGGGCTGTGGCTATGCACTGGTGAGATTACTTTTCACACTTTTCACACACAACTCCAAGTTCCACTTCCTTCTAGTTTTGAATTGCGTTTTCCAGGTTGATGATTTAGAAAGTGGAATTATCAAGGAGGCAGACCTTTAAATTAAAAAAAAAAAGGCAATATGGCTCTCCAAGAAAAACAACCGGTGATGAACTTAGCCAATTACCAAAAGTCGATATATTCATCCAGTTGCGGAACCAAAGGGTGGATCTGACACAAGCCTGGACGGTAGGGGCCTCATCAATCACAAGGCAGCTGTGCCCTAAAACACACCCTGCTCTGTGGTCTGCTTTACTCTAAATAGGACCATCATTTACAGAACGAACACCGTGCTGCTTCGAAGGAGACTTTAAACTAGAGATTGAGATCATAACCTCATTAGGAAAACACGAGGTAAGAAATCATTCTTCTAACTTTCTGTTCACTTGGGTTGTGTCTGAAGAAGTCAGTCACTACACACTATGCAGTGCACTTTATTGTGTGTTTGCCATTTTGTAGTACTGTCCAAATGCAAAGTTACAGTTGCTACACCCAGTATAGCGCACTTATCTCGTAATACACCGTGAAAAGCGTATGTGTACAGCCGATGGTCACTGAACAAGTATTATGTACCGTCATGCAAGGAGAACAGCAGATGGACTAGAGAGCCAGTTGAGGACTGGTGGCATTTAGTGGTATATGGCGTTAGGATGTATGTTCTGTGGAATTTATCTTTTCTATATGTGTAGCTTGTCGAAATGACAAAAGACACGAGACAAATCCATGAGTTATGGTGCGAAAATATTTAAAACATAATATATTTTTTGTATATGTTTAATGTAAGCAGAGTGATGCATCACAACACAAACAAAATAAAGTAATTTAAACTCATTAATTACGGAAAATACACTTAATTTATTACGAATTTAGCACAAAAATGGCATTTGGTTCGATCTGATGCGTTTTAATTGAGTGATGCAAATAACAGCGCCAAGACTGTGGTAGCGTCTGAACCTTTTTCCAACAAAGGGGTAACAAAGCCTGACTTAAACCTGCATCTTTTTTAATGTCCAGCAGGTTTAAGTCAAGCTTAGTTACCCCATTCAGCAGTACAGAAGGTTCTGACTACACCTCACTATCATCCTGCTGCAGGAGAAGGCACTCTGGCTAGTTAGTGTTTCTTTAAACCAATCACAATCATCTCGGGCAGAGCTAATCCCAGGCAGCAGCATCAGTGTCCCTTAAACACAGTGATGGATGGACTTGTTTTAGTGGAACACTTGCATGCAGAGAGTCTGACTACATGATCTAAAGTCTGCAAAACATAAAAACTTCAGTTTGCTAGCCCAGTGGTTCTTGTTGTTGTTGTTTCCCATTGCGAAGTGGATTACTGCAACACGCAACAGTGGAAAGAGAGGAGAAAATTGGCTGAAATAAGCGGCCAATTGTAGGCTTATATGTCTTCACTTTACATACCTGGAGGCTACATTCATCTTTCATATACAGTTTATGAAATGGACACACAAACCCAGACGGAGAGCCGCGTCTAATTTGACGAGTAATTTAAGACATAGTGAATTGTGAGAAAACTCCAACACTACTGGTTACAAACAGTATTTTGAGCCGTTTTTCGCTTTAAATTCTGTTTTTGTTGGAGCTGCTCCGAACCTAGCTTCACATCAAAGTGGATTAGTATGCAGAAGACAGTAAAATGCTGTTTGTCAGACTCGGTATAGGTAGCCAAACAGCATCATACCAGCCACTTCAGCTTGTTTGCCAGCGAGACGACACTCTCCAGTAATTTCTGTCCAAAGCACATTGCAGTAAAATAACTGCATTTATTTTGAAGATGAGTGGCCCCGGTGGGAATGAAACTGCTTTCCCCCCACCACCACAGTGCTGGTGCCATCTCTACCCACAGAGCTGTGCTACACCGAACGGGGAGTTTAACTCCACCTCTCATCCCGGCTCTCCACTTCATTTTAAATTTGCTGTGCTGTATCTCAAAACCCTTCCCCGTGTTCAATCCCACCCGCGCTGCTCCTGTCTGTTTACTGGAAAACATCTATGACATGTTGGTGCAAAGCTGCATTTGGAAAGCACTGAGAACACATGGTGTGACGCACCAAACACTTAGTATGACATCTGCTTACACTCTTTCCTGATCTGCAATGTGTGTGTATTTGCTGCATGAGTCAGCACATAAGAAATACATTAAACAGCATATTCCTGCACTTTGATGTTTTCTGTTGTCTAATAATGTATCCTGAGGCCATTTGTTCCTGCTATGATCTAACTTCCCCACAGGGATTATTAAACTTTCATTTTTCCAAACCAACACGTAGAAATCACTGGTCTATGAAATAAGTCTGAATTGGTGCACTTTTTTATTAAAACACTGGTATTTTTTTTTCAAGACACAATATCCTAATTTGCCCAGTTTTGCACCAGACTAAATTATTCCTCCTGCTTCTAAACTATTTAGCATCACCAAAAAGAAAAAAAAAAAAGAAAAGAACTCATCTAGAGCCTAGAGTAAAATCCGAATAAAGACCCACTGTGATTTGAATGTGTTCAAAAATAGAACGGGCCTCAAAATTATCATAATCAAAATCTCTTTTGCTCTCACTGTCAACTCTACTTGACTCCTCTCTTGCGAAGCCGCAGCTGGGGTTGAAGATGCACTGTAAAATGATATTCGCGCATCTCGCATCAGAAGCCAACTTATATTTAGCAGGACGCTGTTCCTACACTGGACCCTTCGTTAGGTTTGCTAAAATTATCTCGGATGTTGAAAGGCACCGAAATGCCACTTGCGATTTGATATTATCGGGAGCGTCATCATTCTTGCCGTCACTGCAGACGTAAATAGATCAAAGACGACCATCAGGTATTAAAGAGTTGAAAATGGTTGGGCTCTGACTGCCATGTGAAGGCAAATGGAATTTTTACCCCCAAAAACAAATGACATTATCGTCAATAAAACACACTTTTAAGATCAGCTTTCATTGACTATTAAACTGTGCCATAAATCTGGTTTATTTGGGACTAGCTTTATTGGCTCTCATTTACCAGCTTCCTTGCAGCTGTAATGAACAAACAACAAAGAGTGAAACTTTAATGGGAGCATATAAACCAGTTACTAACTGAACAAACAGAAGAGAATCATGTCTCACCTGTCCCTCCTCTCTGTATGAGCAGCGTCGCCTCTGCTCCTACTGGACACTCTTTGAGCATCTCCACCACCCGTCCATGTCCGGCTGCAGCCACCGGCTGCTGGTTCACCTCCAGGATCAGGTCTCCCTCTATCAGCCCCGATGCCCCCTGCGAGCCCGGCTCCAGCACCTGCACCACCACAACAACACCCGCCGTCACTTCATCTGACAGGTGACACTTTGATTTTGTGGTCGCCTCCTTCAGTCTCAGTAACATGCAAATTCTGTTGTCTGCAGCAATTAATAAAAAACAGTTATCGTCTTGTTTCTGTGCTGCTGTTAGCTGCTTGCAGGCATCAGCCTCTGTTTACTCTCAAATAGAATATCATAGTATAATACTATTAACAATGCGATATTATTATTTCTCACAATAGGCTTTATCTCAAAACATTTTTTGCACCAAATCACCACTTAACCCTCTGGGTCTCCTGCAATTTCTGAGTGTTTTTTTGTTCTGCCATATATTTACCCACCGTGGGCTCATTTTTCACTGCAATATAAAATGCTGCACCTCTATGAGAAAAGCACCAGCATGGCTAGAAGCAGAGAGAGCTCCAAAATATCTACTGTGTGGTGTGAAATAGTTATTATACGTTAAATCATATAAGATAACAGCAAAAAACAAAAGCTGAAGGTCTCTGGTTTTTTTATTATTTTACAAAAAATTAAAAACTTGGAATCCACACACGTAACATTCTTCCAAGTGTAAAACTGGTGAGTCATTTTATTACTTGTATTTTTCTGTTTTGTTTTCATATTTCTTATTATTTCACTTACCCGCTCTACGCAACCCACTTCATCCAAAAAGTCACAGAATTTTTATCACATAAATGTTGGTCGCAGCTAAGTCACTTATTTCTTCAAGGTTGAGCCATTTTTTAATTTTTAACATAACCGGGTCGGAGTCATCTGGTGAATTTTTAAACAAGACTTGAATAAAATATTGATTTTGAAGAAATATTACAATTTCAAGCTTACACTTGGTTAACTTTATGACAGAATGTAACATGACAGAGAATTAATTTAAGAAATGTCAAGATGTTCTGATGATTCTTTCTGTTTGTGGCTCTGAAAAATTGTGTAATTTTTGCAAAATGTTTTCAACAAAACATGCCTTTCAAACCCTCAGAGGTTTATTCATTACTTTCCTGTCAATAATGCAAAAAAACACACCTGTCATCTATTGTAGGTCCCAAAAATATTTCAAAAAACAAACAATAAAAGATGTTTAAAAGTTTAAACTATTTGAACCACTTTGACCCATTTGTTTGTGGCTAATTCTTGAAACAATGGAAAATGCACACGTAATGAGTAGTGAACATTAAATAAATGACTGCTTGGGACAGATGGGTTTTTTTTGTGAGTGCAGATGTTTCACTGTACAAATACAACAGGGATGAGAAATAGCATCTGTCACATCCCAACTCATCTTCTCTAATTCATCTGCTCCTGACTGTCAGGTATTTAAGTATCCAGGTTGGATTTTTTTAAACTCTGTACGTTCAGGACACTCTTTGTTCATTACCATGTTAGCAGAAAGCAAACTCAAGACAGATTGAGCTCACTTTGGTCTTATTATCTCGATCTCTTTCTACTTAGTTGCGTTGACCAAATTAAATTTCCCTTGACCTGCTGTTTTAAGTCTGGCCCCGGTTTAATTTGTGAGTCAACTCTAGAGCTGAGTTTAGCTGACTGCTGAGATTTCACTCTTGAAAGAACACGTTTAGTTCCTGCAACACAGACTGTACAATTAAAATTAAAGCACTGAGCGGATCTGAAGTCTTCATTAATTTCTGGAATATTCATTAATCTACAAAGTGATGATTTAGGACGCATCACCTGTTTAACTCGCTGACCGGTGGGACTGTCGGCTATAGTGAACCCGAATCCTTCCGCCCCCTTCACCATAGTAACCGTCAGCAGCTCTGCCCCTTGCGCCGTTGCCCCGGCAACACCCGCAGTCCCCGAGGAGGCCATCGACACGTTGTCGTCGTGAGGCGTGAGCGCCGACGCCGAGCCGGGCGTGGTGGGCGGCAGGGACGAGCCGTCCAGATGCGTGTCCCCCGGGTGGGAGGCTCCGGCCTGAGCCAGGGCCTGAGGAGGGAGCTGGGAGCTCAGCGACAGGTACTCCAGGTACGGGTCGTAGCTGCCTCGGCCGTTCACCACCAGAGGACGGTGCTCCAGGCCGATGGGCGTCAGGGAGGCGCTGGCTGCTCCGCTCGGGTCCTCGGGGTCAAAGGGCAGAGGATATCCTCGACAGAGCACCAGAGTCACGCTCTGACCGATCGGCACCGACTGGAAAAGCTTGACGACGTCGGCGTGCGTGGTGCCGAGCACGCAGATGTCGTTGATGTAGACGATGACGTCACCTGAAGGAGAGGAAGATAGCTTCAGTCACACTGCAGCATGTTACACAGACTGCATGATGCCGTGTCAGTTGTTCATGTATGGCATACTGCGCTACACAAATACAACTTGTCACAATCTGTTGCCGTAAGTGTCACATCTCAGCGGTATCAGAACAAGCTGCAGCAGCGCAGAGGAAGCACACTGTCCCTTTCAAGTGCCACACAGGAGCATAATATCTGCTCACTGCTACTGCCTGCCATCTACAAGTGTGTGCGCGAGACGAGGAAGTGAGAGAGAGAGAGAGAGAGAGAGAGAGAGAGGAAGACGGGGTCAGGGTCTCGGCGAAAACGACAACCATCTGGTGCACACTGGCATCCGCAGAGACCTTCTAATCAGGAACATCTCAAATATTCAAATGGATGCACACACTCGCAGTGACAAGTAGGAACAGATTTGAGTTTTGGCTCTTGAATTAGTGAATTATGATGCTGCGTCTCCCTCTTGGTGCGGTGACCAGTCGGAAAACACAAAATGCAAATGTGCACCATTATTTATGATCTTGTGCAGCAGCCATACTGTCCAATTTCAGCAATTCGCTAAATCTGATATTCATGTTCACTTACCTGCTTGGTTGGGGACATTTTTTCCCCCGCATACCAACAACAAAGAGGTGAAACAACTTCACAAATGCGACACTAGATACTCTGTCATCTCTGCTGTAGTTTGAACGTGTGGAAAGTTATGGATTTCAGCCTTAAAGTCACAGCCCCATGACAAATGCAGCTGCCTCAAATCCTCTATTTCACACTTCTGGAGGCACTTCTCTGTCACACAAGCGCACAAACATGCAGCATACGTGTCACGTGCACAATCGTACACGATTCCTAAGAGCAATACCGCGCGGCTCAAATAGGCCAGCTAATCTCAGCCGGTCTGTGTGCGACTCGCGATGTGTGTGTGAGCGGCTCTGGCAATGTCACTGAGGGGAGAGCAGCAAGTCGGAGAGAGAAATCAGAACAGAGAGGGAGAGAGGAAAAGGCTGACAGACCAGGAGAGAGAGAGAGATGAAGAGGAGGGGAAAACTAGAAGAGGTAGAAAGAGAAAACGGATGAAAATATACTGAGGCTGAAAACAGAGGAGAAGTGACAGGGTTAGATAAGAAAGCATAATAAAGGGTAAGCCGGAGAGACAAAGAGAAAGATGGAGATAAAATAGAAAGAGATGGAATCCAGATAAAAGAGAAACTGATAGGCAGAGGGAGAGACATAAAAGCGGCGCGCTGAAAGTAGGAAGGAGGATTCCCGGCTCTGAAACGAGCTCTAAATTAGCAGTTTAGGCACCAGCCGTGCCAGGCATGAGGCCAGCTCGCAGGTTCAGGGGAGAGCACACACAAGGCTTCATACAGTAGCGGCTTTTTTTGATCCTGTGACTGTAGCTCACTGTTACTTTTACCGACATCAGGTCTTTGAGGTGAAACCTAAACTAATGGCTTGTTTCTGCAAATGCAAAAGAAATCAGTCATTTCCTTGAGGATGAGTATCAACCTATAGAGCTCTATAGACACACACACAGTGCTCACGTAATGAACAGGTGATGATTTAGAGCAGGGGTCTCGAACTCCGGTCCTCGAGGGCTCATCATCAAGCTCTGCAGAAGTCTGATAACGATCCTGATCATTTGAATCAGGTGTGTTGGAAGAGGGAAACATCTAAAACATGCAGGATTGCGGCCCTCAAGGACCGGAGTTCGAGACCCCTGATTTAGAGAAAACACTGGTTGTTGCAAAGACATAAACTTAACTTTCCACATAGAGCGATGCACTAAATCGAGCCACTAAATAAGCCATGTGAGGCGACATCGCTGCTCGTGTGGATGCTACAGCTCGTGTGGTTTTACGAGTCAAAGCACAAAAACAAGTACAGGGTAACTTCGTGACATTGGTGTACCTGTGTATGACTTATTTTGGAGACTACCTTGACTGCTGAGGCCAGTGCAGGGATAATGCACCTGCAGTGCCGCCATAAAAGCAGAAATTAATCTTCTAATGAAGTAGGTGTTGTGTGGGCTGGTGTCAGTTATGGCCAATCAAATCATTTTCTCTCAGTCTTATTAGGGGGAGGATGTTACAGTACACTGACGAGGACAGAGAGTTTGCTGAGGGGAAACTGAGGTCGCTGTCTGGGACGCTCAGTGCCAGAGGCACAAATATAGAACACCCCAAATACGCCACCGAGGGACAACGATGCCCCCTTTTTAAGATGAACCGATATTTCTGGAGATACAGAAACCTCTCGCTAGAGCCTCGCGGTACGAGTGCTATTTTGTTCACAGTATTGATTGTCACCGTTTCTTGTTTCTTGAACTCCACTTGAGCTGAAGTTGGTGAAAAACTAAAGAAAAGTTTCGAAGAAGTTCGTCCCTGGTCATTGATTAAACCTCTAAAATCTCACATTCATTCATCAAAATCACATTTAACTCCTAAAAACTCATCTCCGTGTATCAAGGCTAAACATTTAAAAGCTTTTGCAATATTCTCTCCCTGCCTTAAAATACCTTTGATGTAATGTTGGACTATTGCTTCCTTTAGAATGTGCAGCTCTATGAAGCCACTTCTCCATCCAGCGCTCGCTGCAGCTCGAGGACACCAGCTCACCTTCAACTTTGCTCTTAAATCATGAAACTACTCTGTGCTAAACAATGGTGAGCTGTAATATCGGTGTAATCCAGCCCCACATGGACCTGGAAACCAGCTCTGAAGGAGACAAATGATATGGGAAGCTCCACGCTGAATGTTGACAGGTCTGGTTCTTTAGATTCATTATGGATAAAACTCCACCTGTCTCAGGACGTGTTTCTGGGGCTCATCAGTCCACAGTTTGAAGGCAGAAACGCTCAGCCGTGGTGCTGACTTCGCTTATGATGTGTCTTCTAGTATATGAAAAACACCATGAAGACACGCTAACAAGGTAAAAAAAACTTGATTTTCAACAAAGGGGGGAAAAAATGCAGGGAACACAGGAGGCAAAAGGCCTTAATGAGGCCCAAACTTCAGGTTTTTATAGATACAGAGAATGTATTTTTGTACAGAGTCATTCATACGCCTCCTTTTTTCTATATTGTATATCGACAGGTGGGTACGTTAGGTGAAGTTTAAAAAGAAAAGGTAAGTCTGCTCGGGTGGAAATGATGTTTTTTTTAGTTGACAAAATCCCTATCAGGACCTCAGGGACAGAAAACATCACCACCAAAGGTTTTATTACGACTAACTCTGCAACCACAACAACCCAATCTGATGAAGCAGTTGTGAGCTGCATCTGACACCTGTCAATCAAGGAAACCTCAAAACAAACATACTTTCATATCTCTTTATGGAACAGTCTTACTCTTAATCCCCCCACATTGGAACTTTTTTTTATGGGAAACAATGACTTTGACTTTGGAGAGAATTTGGAGGACTTTTTTTAAAGACATTTTTTGGGCTTTTCTGCCTTTAATGACAGGTGACAGTGAAGATAGACAGAGAAACATCGGGAATGACATGCAGCAAATGAGCTGCTGGCTGGAATCGAACCACGGCCGCTGCGTTGGAGATTATAGCCCTTGTACATGAGTTGCCCACCCTACCTGCCAACCTATCTGGGCGTCCCAAATTGGAGGACTTTTTAAATGAATGCAGTATCTAACTTAATACTTGAAAAAGAGATACAGTCAGTTCATGGATGTGTAAATGTCTGTACTGTTTGAGGTGTCTGTGACCTCTACTGGCTAAACCTGAAGCGCCACAGTTTATGCTAAGACAAGTTTTCAAAGCTTCGATGCCAAAATCACACAACGCCAGCTATATAAACAGGATGCTGGCGCGGTGCTGTGGTCCTCTGGCCTTTTAGATAAGGGCGATGTAGTCAGAAATAACTCAAAAAGCAGGTAAAAACAACAGCAAAGAGCTCTTTGTACGTCTGCCATGGCAAGACATTAAGGTCCGTAACAGTGAGGTGTCAGAATAATGAGGCTGTACTTAAACATTTCTATTAACACAGTATTACGCGATCAGCAGTGACAGCAGTGACAGCTTGCAGTTTGTTCAAACCTCAAGTTTATTTATTTTGTCAGATGTGTCAGAATAATTACCTGTGTCCATTTTTCCGTCCTGAGCAGCGGGTCCATCCGGTATTACACTCTTCACTTGCAGGAACTCGTCGGGCTCGTCGCCTCCTATAATTGTGAAGCCGAATCCCATGTTGCTCTTCTGCAGGGCTGTCGACAGGAAGGTGCCCTTCAGCTGGGTCGGGTCCCGCGTAAACAATGGCTTCTCTGCATTGGGAACACATTTTGAAGCGCGGTGTTTTACATATCTTGAAACATTAGTTTGTCCCATTATTTATGCTGGAGTCTGACATGATATTTCTCAGTGCCGAATGCAAAAAGCACAGATGAAGACGCGTTTTCCTGATAAGCTGACTCATTGGAGATTCGCAGTTTTCACTCAGATGAAGCAGGACATAATGTACTGGTCTAATATGTCATCATACGCGCGCCTGGATTAGCCCACTTGAGGCCTCGGGGCGAGCATGTTCTCTGTCCCCCGCACTGCCAGCGAGCTCCGGTCGACCCTGCACACTGTGACATTGTGCATCTGCCCCGTCACATACTCATGAAGCTGCCCACTCTCAGGGAGAAAACACACAATATTCAACACAGAAAATTAGCACAATGGGGAAACAGGCCTCTCGTCCACAAGGCCACGCGCCCTGCCCCTTTCTGCAGTCAAGGCATTTTCATATTTGTGCAACTGTGCATGTTTTCATTTAAGTAATGCACACAGCGTAGCACTTGTACCTCTATATATTGTCGGCAGAGGTAAAGCGGAGAGTCCCTGGCTCTGCATCTGCCTCTGCTGCTCCAGGCGTCTCTTGGCTTCCAGGACCGGGTTCTCAAACTGAGTCCTTCGATTGATGTGACTGAAAATACAGTGAATCATTCAGAATTATGGAAAAACGGAGACATTAAAGCTCCTCCGTGAGCCAAAAACAGCATAACCACGGCGCAATTCTGCATTAACGACTGTATCAATACAAAACCCCGCCTTTTACTTTGCGCTCAGATGTACTCGAGAACCAAAACTAAGTGTTCATTCACAAGGATGGCGGCTTTCGCTGCATTAGATTATTGATTTAGGCTTGTGGACCCCGCTGAGAATCAACAGTTCGGCTCTGCAGCTCAAACTTTCAGCTGCTGTTGGTTGGTAGATACTATAATGGGAATAATCACACAAACCATGTTTAAAGCTGGTAAACATGATTTAAAATAAAGCTCTGGCATGTACCCAACTGAGGATTTTTTGAGATAAAATAAGAAAAGTGAACTGCTAACATTTCTATCAGATACATATTTGCTAATTTAACGGCCATAATATCTTAATAAGGACGTCAAATATTGAAAAAAAGTAGTTCTAATGTTGTATTGCTTTCGATCTGTGGAAACTCAATATAGCTTTAATATGATAGTATTTTAAAGTTGCAGTGGGTCCAGACTGTCAGTTGTTAGTTTAACTTTTACCAATACATCCTTCTCTATGTCTTTAAAATATTATTCTTAATGTAATTTGAGCTACATTTAAGTGTAAAAAAACAAAAAAGAACCAATCATCTCAGCAGCAGCTTACCAAACCTGTACTCTAAGTAAATGTACTTTACTTTTCACCTAAAATAACAGCAAATTCTCCCTCAGACAAGTATTTTTTTACCCACTTCTATATATTTATATACTTATTTACAGTGTGTTGGTGTAACAACACAATAAAACTGTTTTTTATCAGCAGCGTTTTCAGAATAGTCCGCAGAGACCAGAATTTTACTGCAAAAGTTTAATCAAATAAGCAGTAACATATGAAAAAGAAATGAGAATTTGCTCATTTATAATTCATGGCGAGGCGTTGTAAACCACCGAAACGCATTCCGTGTTTTACTACAGAGCGGCGGAGTTATCTGGGAAACTTACTCGACGTAGTAGCTGCCGTAGATGGGGTCATCTATCTTCTCCCAGCCATAGGGCAGCTCTGAGAAGAGGAGGAAGAGGAGGAGGAGGAGGAAACCAGACAAGGGAAGATGGAGTCAGTTTGTGCTGAGAGCAGAAGAAGGAAGGTAGACACTAAATTGAACCCGTGAGGGGAGACAACATGAATCTCGGCACTCGCAGCTAGACGCTCCCAAAGTGCTCTTTTAATTGACAGACAACGCTTTCGATCTGCGGCGGTGGCTTCTTCACGGAGACACGAATCACAACACAGACGGCAACACAAAGCAGGGTGGGAGGAAAGGCACATTTAAATCATCTGACACAACTCATCCTGCCTTTCTCTTGTTCCTCCCTTTTTTATTGTGCGCACAAATCCTTCAAGGCCAAATACCTTCAACATACTACTTCATGCTTGTCTCTTCTTCTTTTTTTTTTTGCTTTTACACACCCACACGTTCTCGCCTTGGACGGCTTCCATGGCTGTTGTGTTAATTGTCTCCTCCTCTCCCTCCTCTGATTCTCTGTTCCCACCTCACTTCATCCATCCCTTTGTTGATTTATCTCTCCCCACTCCATTATAAAGGAACTGGGTCAAGGCACAGCTAAAATTCCTTTACTCTATGCCCTATTCTTCTAATTCACTTCTAACTTCCCGCACGACGTATAGCAGGTTGTAATGAGCTCCCTCTGCCGGCGTTTGCAAAATTCAGGATGTTTTGGTTTTTTGGCTTTTGCGCTCGGCCTTCGCTCGGGTGCGAGAAACACGAGGGGGTTGACCTCATGCTACTGAACAAACTCAAACACACACATCCACAGAAACACTTCATCTGCTTCCCTCCTACTCAGACATACAGCAGAAAAATTTCTTGAAAGGTTGATCTTCACATTAATTCTCCTCAAGTCTTGCGTTAAAGAGCCTCATTCATGAAACTCATAACCACAGATTATCCTTTCTCGCACACAACACGGCCAAACCTGAAGAAAACAGCAGAATACTGGTTTCATACGTACATTCAGGACTCGGCTAAACCCCGAGATTGTTGCCGAAACACACTCACCAGCGTTCACACATAAACAAAGGCAGACAAGAACTGACAACCTTGGTGGTGGGAAGAGGAGCGCTGAGGGAGGTGAGTAAAAACAAAAGCGGGAATACGGTGTGTGTCAGGATGTGTTGGCTGTTAGGTTTGCCTGTGGAGGTGTAATCTGGTGGCAGGTGAGGGAGTTCAGTTGTCATGTTTCTGCTGCGCGCATCATTAGCCGTCACAGGACGAGTTCGTCTTTGGTCAGTCCCCGAACCGACGTCAGCGTTTTCAGACTTTCGGCAAAATGTGTTTCCAGGTCACAGGCTGATTTCTAACCGGGTTTGATGACACGGGGCTGAACGGTTTGGAGGAAATGTCTAACTGTGATTGCTCTCACAGATGTTGATGTGCCGTTTAAGTCAAGCTTTGGTTTAATATTCACCGTGTAACAGGTTTAAAACATGTGATGGAGCATTAGTACATGAGATATCATCAAAATGCGACTGTGGCACGAGTGAAAACGACACAGCGGTTTAAACTCTACGTCAGATGTGGTGCAAAAGATGTGGCGATGAAATACTGAGACTGGGTTAACATAGACAAACCACATTGTGCATACCTGAACCACAACACACACATTAATCTGTCTGTGAGCATAAACAACCCCTGAAACTTTCAGTCTGCTGTAATTAAACAGTATTATGACATTAGTATTATTGTTTTACAGCCACACCTCATATATCTCAGCTTTTGCAATTTTGAAGTTGATTATTTGTTCATCCCTTAGTTAAATGGAGTTAATAAATCTAAAATTGCACCATGTTTGCACTTAAATTTGATCTTCCACATCTGCTTGGTTCTCAAACATCCCTCTATTCCGTCTTTCTCATGGACAAAATAACCATCAAAAGTCATAAAGGTTCAGCTGCTGGACAAAAAATGTCAAATAATCAGTAGGATTTTAGCAACATAAATGTTTTTGTGAGTTTTCTTATTTGAGAACTTTGGCTTCCGTTTGTAGAAAAACACGTCGGAAACAATATTTCCTGATTGTTTAGTAAATTAGGAACTTTGTGACGCGACACCATTAAAGGACAAAAGGACATCCTAAAAGCAAATGTGGTTTCTAAACCCAAGTAAAATTCATTTTAGAGGCTATGATCATACATAAGAATATTAATCTACTTTATTTTCAATAGCGGGCTGCAAGGTGGCTCGGTGCTTAGCACCGTTGCCTCGCAGCGAGAAGGTTGCCGGTTCGGTGATTACACCTGGGATCTTTGTGCGTGGACTTTGCATGTTCTTGGTAGATGGAAGGATGGATTTTCAACTTCCAAAATGATAGTTGCAAGGTGCTTTACAAAGCATTAACATACATACAGTCGAGAAATCAAGGAAATAAAACACAAGTAAAGACCCTAAAAAGGGCAAAAACAGCATCAGAGAAAGAAAAAAAAGAGCAGAAACGTTATTAAACTGAGGCACTGACTGACAGAAAGGTGGAGCTGTTGAAGTGTTGAGGCTGAAACAGTGGAAGCACACATGGTGTTGTTTTCATGAGACAAAACTCATATGTATGCAGCGTCTGTAGAAGTGATGGACAGGTGTGGCAACATTAACTTTATTGATTAGAAGTCAACTCACGTTATACTTCTACCTATAATTACTGGAAAATTCTAGTTCTATCCACAGAACTTTATGGAAATTGTTAGAAAATGACTGCAATTGGAAAACAGCAAGTTTAAATTCCTCAAAAAAAAAAAATGTGCTGGATCGTCCTCTTCAGGTTTGGATATTAGTAATAGTTAAACGATACACCACCCGCCCTCTCAAGTTATTTCACTCGCTAACACACTCTCACACACTCCCTCACACACACACACACACACAAATCCCCCGTCCTATTATTTTTACAATTATTTGGTGTGCGTGACACTGATACTGTGGCATCATCCCCTCACGCTGTAATGTAATTATGAACAGATTTGTGATCTTGATATCAATAATCCATGTGTGAACGTGTGTGTGTCACCGTGTGTGTGTGTGTGTGTGTGTGTGCGTCCTGGCAGCTGAGCGTGCTGACTGTGCAGCCCAAGGTGAACGCGCCTCAATTATCTCAGCTCTGCTTTAACCGTTGGCTCTCGCCGCCTGCACTGCGCCGCCGTTACCTCAGATGACCCCCTCTCATCTTTCGAGGTGAAAAAGTCAGACGGATTCGTACTTCAAAAACCACCTTAAATTCCCTCCCACCCCGTCTACGAGCCACCTTAAATGTCGGCCTAACTGATCCACTAGTCGCTTGCCCTCCCCCTGAAGTGAAAGGGAGACAGTTTCCATGGAAACCACCAGTGGAAGTCTCTCTCTTTTTTTTTTTTTTCTTCTCTTCCTCCTCCTCTCGCCTGAGCTGAGGGCTCTGTCTTGTCTCTATTTCCTGCCGCTGAAATACAGAAAAAGAGAGAGGGTGTTTGTGTGTGTGTGTGT